GGTGGAGGCAGGGTGTGTGTGAGGGGGGTGGAGGCAGGGTGTGTGTGAGGGGGGGTGGTGGCAGGGTGTGTGTGAGGGGGGTGGAGGCAGGGTGTGTGAGGAGGGTGGAGGCAGGGTGTGTGTGAGGGGGGTGGAGGCAGGGTGTGTGTGAGGGGGTGGAGGCAGGGTGTGTGTGAGGAGGGTGGAGGCAGGGTGTGTGTGAGGGGGGTGGAGGCAGGGTGTGTGTGAGGGGGGTGGTGGCAGGGTGTGTGTGAGGGGGGGGTGGAGGCAGGGTGTGTGAGGAGGGTGGAGGCAGGGTGTGTGTGAGGGGGGTGGAGGCAGGGTGTGTGTGAGGGGGGTGGAGGCAGGGTGTGTGTGAGGGGGGTGGAGGCAGGGTGTGTGAGGGGGGGTGGAGGCAGGGTGTGTGTGAGGGGTGGAGGCAGGGTGTATGAGTGCCTCACCATGAACCGGTCCAACAAGCTGAGCGGTGTTGCCACATAAAACTGGTCCCAACAAGGTCTCTAGCTCCACACACATGCACAGAGCATGTTCCGTACACTCGTACACTCATGCCCCGTACACTCATGCCCCGTACATACTCGGCACAATCATACACTTCTATTATCTTGCATTAGATCATAATTACCGAGAGTTCACCTGTGCTTTGTAAATGGTTTTACATCAACACCGTCGGGTCACCCCCACCGTGTCGGGTCACCCCCACCGTGTCGGGTCACCCCCACCGTGTCGGGTCACCCCCACCGTGTCGGGTCACCCCCACCGTGTCGGGTCACCCCCACCGTGTCGGGTCACCCCCACCGTGTCGGGTCACCCCCACCGTGTCGGGTCACCCCCACCGTGTCGGGGTCACCCCACCGTGTCGGGGTCACCCCACCGTGTCGGGGTCACCCCACCGTGTCGGGTCACCCCCCACCGTGTCGGGGTCACCCCCACCGTGTCGGGGTCACCCCCACCGTGTCGGGGTCACCCCACCGTGTCGGGGTCACCCCACCGTGTCGGGTCACCCCCCACCGTGTCGGGTCACCCCACCGTGTCGGGGTCACCCCACCGTGTCGGGTCACCCCCCACCGTGTCGGGGTCACCCCACCGTGTCGGGGTCACCCCACCGTGTCGGGGTCACCCCACCGTGTCGGGTCACCCCACCGTGTCGGGGTCACCCCACCGTGTCGGGTCACCCCCCACCGTGTCGGGGTCACCCCACCGTGTCGGGTCACCCCCCACCGGGTCGGGTGACAGGCAGCACCCGCGGGCTGCGTGACGCCTCACCAGAAAACTAGGTCGAGAAACTTAAAAAAAATACCAACGGTAAATTTACCGGTGCCAGATAGTGGAAGGGGGCGAGGGAGGGGGGGTGCAGGACGAGTAGGTAAAGGTGGGGGGGGGGGATGGGGAGGGTTGTTTGGGTAGGAACAGGCTTGCCACAACCTCTCCCAGGAGCACCCCCTCCCACACACAACAGTCTGGGTGACCACAACGGGACTCTTCCCCCCCCCCCCCACGCTCATTCCCAGCAACAGCTACTCCCTAAGCATCAACTACTGGCCGTTATCTACTCAGCATTGCAGCATTCGTTTGACATGCTTGGTGGGTTAGCTGGGGCATGTGGTACAGTGGTCTACGTTCTCGATTCACAATCTGGGATCCCAGGTTCGATATTGCCTCCCTGGACATAAACCCTCCTATGACAGGAAGCTCTACAATGATAGCTCGCTGCTCATACAGTACCCGGGCACTGATAGCTCGCTGCTCATACAGTACCCGGGCACTGATAGCTCGCTGCTCATACAGTACCCGGGCACTGATAGCTCGCTGCTCATACAGTACCCGGCACTGATAGCTCGCTGCTCATACAGTACCCGGGCACTGATAGCTCGCTGCTCATACAGTACCCGGGCACTGATAGCTCGCTGCTCATACAGTACCCGGGCACTGATAGCTCTCTGCTCATACAGTACCCGGGCACTGATAGCTCGCTGCTCATACAGTACCCGGGCACTGATAGCTCGCTGCTCATACAGTACCCGGGCACTGATAGCTCGCTGCTCGTGCAGTACCCCCGGGCACTGATAGCTCGCTGCTCATACAGTACCCCCGGCACTGATAGCTCGCTGCTCATACAATACCCGGGCACTGATAGCTCGCTGCTCATACAGTACCGGGCACTGATAGCTCGCTGCTCATACAATACCCGGGCACTGATAGCTCGCTGCTCATACAGTACCCGGGCACTGATAGCTCGCTGACAATACAGTACCCGGGCACTGATAGCTCGCTGCTCATACAGTACCCGGGCACTGATAGCTCGCTGCTCATGCAGTACCCGGCACTGATAGAGTCGCTGACAATACAGTACCCGGGCACTGATAGCTCGCTGCTCATACAGTACCCGGGCACTGATAGCTCGCTGCTCATACAGTACCCGGGCACTGGTAGCTCGCTGCTCATGCAGTACCCGGGCACTGATAGCTCGCTGCTCATACAGTACCCGGGCACTGATAGCTCGCTGCTCATACAGTACCCGGGCACTGATAGCTCGCTGCTCATGCAGTACCCCCGGGCACTGATAGCTCGCTGCTCATACAGTACCCAGGCATTGATAGCTCGCTGCTCATACAGTACCCGGGCACTGATAGCTCGCTGCTCATACAGTACCCGGGCACTGATAGCTCGCTGCTCATGCAGTACCCCCGGGCACTGATAGCTCGCTGCTCATACAGTACCCCCGGGCACTGATAGCTCGCTGCTCATACAATACCCGGGCACTGATAGCTCGCTGCTCATACAGTACCCGGGCACTGATAGCTCGCTGCTCATACAATACCCCCGGGCACTGATAGCTCGCTGACAATACAGTACCCGGGTATTGATAGCTCGCTGCTCATACAGTACCCGGGCACTGATAGCTCGCTGCTCATACAGTACCCGGGCACTGATAGCTCGCTGTTCATACAATACCCCCGGGCACTGATAGCTCGCTGCTCATACAATACCCGGGCACTGATAGCTCGCTGCTCATACAGTACCCAGGCACTGATAGCTCGCTGCTCATACAATACCCGGGCACTGATAGCTCGCTGCTCATACAGTACCCGGGCACTGATAGCTCGCTGCTCATACAATACCCGGGCACTGATAGCTCGCTGCTCATACAGTACCCGGGCACTGATAGCTCGCTGACAATACAGTACCCGGGTATTGATAGCTCGCTGCTCATACAGTACCCGGGCACTGAAAGCTCGCTGAAAATACAGTGACAGGCAAAGTCATACTCGCTCAGCGCTTTCTCCTGATTATGTATTTTATGAACAAAGACACACTAGCGCGACTGAGAACAAATAACCACACCCGTACACACACGGACAGAAACTGGCGACGTTTTTGTCCATCCTGCACCTGAGTCACCTCGTTGTGAGGACCCGGATGGGACTGAAACGTAGCTACTCTCCATTCTTATGTGTGGATTGGGTTATTGTCTTATCTAGTGTAGAGGCCAGGGGCCAGATTCACGAAGCAGTTACGCAAGCAAGCAACCTGTACATCTTTTTTCAATCTTTGGCGGCTTTGTTTACAATTATTAAACAGTTAATGAGCTCCGAAGCACCAGGAGGCTGTTTATAACAATAACAACAGTTGATGGGGAAGTTTTCATGCTTGTAAACTGTTTAATAAATGTAACCAAAGCCGTCAAATATTGAAGAAAGATGTACACGTTCGTAAGTGCTTGCGTAACTACTTCGTAAATCTGAGTCCAGGAAGGTACAGGTGATACATTACAGAGGCCAGGAAGGTACTGGTGATACAGTTTACACTGTAAACATTTATAAAGTGGCGGGGAATTTGAAATTTGCCCGTAATCATATCAGGGGCTCACCATAGCCCGTGCTACGTGGAACCTTTTGTTCCCAGTAGCTAAATCTGAAAAATTTGAAATTTGTACACGAGTATGGTGTATGAAAGCGGCCACTGCGACTTCCTGAGGACGACCACCACCAAACACCACTCCGTAAAAAATACGACTGTTTTGCCTAACCAGGAATATACGAACCCAAGCAACCCACTTCACCTCTCGAGGGCGATATATAGGAAGAAAAAAAAGTCCATATTGTGGTGTTTTTAAATCTTGTTCTAATACGTCGTACTTTTAACGGATTAGTACGCTAAAAATACGGCCCCGGGCTCAGACCAGACCTCCTGAATGACAGTCTGGTTAACCAGGCTATTGGACGCCGCTGCACACAGTCTGACGTGTGAATCACAGCCCGGTTGATCAAACACAGCAAATTCATCACTATATACACCCCGAGTATTATATTGCTACTTGAGAAATATAATTTGTGATCAGTATAATCCTTCACCTCTCTGAACTCTGGCCATTTTCTCCTGCCTCAACCCCCCCCCCTCCCTCCTCCCCACCATTTCAATTTCACCTCATCAGTATAACCTTCTCTTAATGTGGTGTTCCTTGACCTGGGTGGTGGTGGTGATGACCGGGGTGGTGGTGGTGATGACCTGGGTAATGGTGGTGGTGGTGGGTGACCGAGATGGTGGTTGCGGTGACTACTAGCGCAGATATAACTCACAATAACGTGGTTCGAACAAGTAAACGAACACCACATAAAAAGTGACGACGTTTCGGACCGTCGGACTGGACTCCCGGCCGGACGGATCAAGTCGTGACTGGACGGTCCAAGACGGACCGAAACGTCGTCTGTCTCTCTCTGTCTCTGTCTCTCTCTCTCTCTCTCTCTCTCTCTCTCTCCTCTCTCTCTCCTCATCTCTCTCTCTCTCTCTCTCTCTCTCTCTCTCCTCATCCTCTCCCTCATCTCTCTCCTCCTCTCCTCCCTCTCTCTCTATCTCTCGTCTAATAAGTATGGGTTTGTTACTTATAACTATTGTAGTGACTAGAGCCCTTACAGTAACTTGAAGGAAGGGGGGGGGGTCAAGCCCCCCTTGAGGACGACTACTAAGGGTAACAAGAGTGAACAGGGTGAGTTACGTACCAATGCCGGCGACCGCCGTCTTCCCCGGAGCCTTGAGAGCCAGCTTACCTGGAAACAAAGTAATAGTTGATGTTAATAAGTTCAACACTGGTGTAGCCACAACCCCGGCCATTGTCCTCCACACCTCTCACTCCGCCTCCTCTTGCAAGCACGTCTCTCCGTGCAACACCCTGGCACAGTGGCCGTACCACAGTGGCCGAACCACAGTGGCCGTACCAGTGGCCGTACCACAGTGGCCGTACCACAGTGGCCGTACCACAGTGGCCGTACCACAGTGGCCGTACCACAGTATTTCTCTGCGAGACAGTCTGTGAGTTGCTGGTTTGAGGCAGCAGGGCGCTATCTGTCCATGCCCCACTGCAGTAGTCGTGTCCATGTCCCACTGCAGCAGTCGTGTCCATGTCCCACTGCAGCAGTCGTGTCCATGCCCCACTGCAGTAGTCGTGTCCATGTCCCACTGCAGCAGTCGTGTCCATGCCCCACTGCAGTAGTCGTGTCCATGCCCCACTGCAGTAGTCGTGTCCATGCCCCACTGCAGCAGTCGTGTCCATGCCCCACTGCAGCAGTCGTGTCCATGCCCACTTGCAGTAGTCGTGACCAGTCCCACTGCAGTAGTCGTGACCATATCCCACTGCAGTAGTCGTGACCGCCATGACCCATACAGAACCAGGATTCATTTACGAAACCTGTACATCTTCCCCCTTTCAATCATGGTGGCTTAGGCTATATTTATTAAACAGTTTACGATCTACAAAAATTCACAACCCAACCTCGTTAGCGTTTAGGCGCCCATAAACTGTTAAATGTGTACTAAGCTCCTATGAATGGAGGAAAGATGTACATGTTTCGCAAGTGAAGACTGGAGTGCTTGAGTAATGTTGTCCCCCCCAGGTGTACATGAGTGTTGTGGACTCCCTATAACCTGTACAACCCTTCCTTGGCCGAGCGGTTGTCCGCGCGACGCAGGGTTATGGCGGGAAACGTAACTGCGCGCCCACACCATCACTAAATACCTCGGTATAGGGCTGACTGCAATAAAATGTTGTCGGCGGCCAGGGTTAAATTATTGCAAATGGTGTATTGGAGAGGCAACATGTGTGCGTGTGTGTGTGTATATGTATGCATGTGTGTGCGTGTGTATGCGTGCCATAGCAGCCCCACACCCACCGCCTCCCACAGCCAACAGCCCGCCACACAGGAAGCAACGGCCAAGAAGAAGAGGGGGAGAGGGTGTCATGAACGAGGGTGCCCCCCCCCCCTCACCTCAAACTTTCGTGTGGATATAGAAGCGTTCCTTAGGTACTTCTTTATCCACTGGAGTACCTTTGTCACTTCTGTCTGCTTCTCCAGCTTACCCACTAGTCTCATGTGGTGTGTTACAAAGTTCCTTCTCTGCAGAAGTTCTACTAGTTTTTCTCACACTCTTCTCCATCATGGTATGCAAGTTAAAGACACTGGCCTGTGGTTCAGTGCCTCCTGCCTATCTCCCTTCTTGTATACTGGGACGGCATTAGCCATTTTCCAAAGTTTTAGTAGTTTTTCTGTTACACCACAGAGAGTGGGAAGTATAATGCTTCAGCTTCCACTTTCAGCATCCACTGTGAGATTCCGTCTGTACCAGCAGCCTTTGTTACGTCCAGTTCCAGCAAATCCTTCCTTTCCACGCTACTGGTAATCTCAAATTCCTCCAGTGATGTCTGGTTTAGTGTGTGTGTGTGTGTGTGTGTGTGTCTGTGTGTGTGTGTGTGTGTGTGTGTGTGTGTGTGTGTGTAGCGCTCCCTCCGGCTGCTGTTCTCTCGTAGTTCAGGCACTTCTCCCTGCTCTATTGCGAAGGCCTCCCGGAATCTCTTGTCGAGTTCCTCACATACCATCTTGTCATTTTCAGTAAGCCTGTCCGCTCCTTTTCTGAGTTTTATTACCCGTTTCTTCACTGTTGTTTTCCCCCTCCTAATGTTGTGAAGCAGTTTGAGGAGAGTTTTTGCTTTATTTGCTGTCATTTTCATACTGTGTCAAGGTACAATCAAAATGTCTTGCATAGTCGTTATTCTGAATTATGGTGCCCAAGGAATTAGGAATTTTCTTATCTCCTCATAATTTCCCCCTTCGGTATGCCAGCCTTTTGTTTTCTGATCCCTTCCTTCCTTGAGTATGTTATCTCTACCTCGCGCACGCGCGCGCGCGTGTGTGTGTGTGTGTGTGTGTGTGTGTGTGTGGTGTGTGTGTGTGTGTGTGTGTGTGGGTGTGTGGTGTGTGTGTGTGTATTCCACCTAGTGGTGCTTGCGGGGTTGAACTCTGCTCTTTCGGCCCGCTTCTCAACTGTCAATCAATCAACTGTTACTCATTTTTTCCCCACACACACACACACATGCCCAGGAAGAGCAGCCTGTAGCAGCTATCTAACTCCCAGGTACCTATTTACTACTAGGTAACAGGGGGCATCAGGGTGAAAGAATCTCTGCTCATTTGTTTCCGCCTTCGCCGGGGATCGATCCCTCGACCCTAGGGATACGAATCCCGAGCGCTGTCCACTCAGCTATCAGCCCCCCCACCTGATGTGTGTGTGAGTGAGGCTCCCTCCGGCTGCCGTTCTCACGCAACAACGACGCGGGAACGGAAGTTGTCATAAAAACTGAACATGGTGACCTTTGGAGCACCCCCCCCCCTTCCCCCGTCCCCCTACCACCTTTCATGCACCTCACAGAGTATATGTCGTGCCTGGTGCCTGCCTGTGTACTCACCTAATTGTACTCACCTAACTGTGCTTGCGGGGATTGAGCTCTGGCTCTTTGGTCCCGCCTCTCAACGTCAATCAAAAGGTGTACAGGTTCCTGAGCCATTGGCTCTATCATATCTACACTTGAAACTGTGTATGGAGTCAGCTCCACCACATCACTTCCTAATGCATTCCATTTACTAACTACTCTGACACTGAAAAAGTTCTTTCTAACGTCTCTGTGGCTCATTTGGGTATCAGCTTCCACCTGTGTCCCCTTGTTCGCGTCCCCCAGTGTTGAATAGTTCATCCTTGTTTACCCGGTCGATTCCCCTGAGGATTTTGTAGGTTGTGATCATGTCCCCCCTTACTCTTCTGTCTACCAGTGTCGTTGTGTGTGTGTGTATATATGTGTGTGTATAGTATGTGTGTGTATATGTGTTTGTATATGTGTGTGTATATGTTGTGTTATAGTTTGTGTGTGTGTGTGTTTACTAGTTGTTGTTTTTTGCGGGGGTGAGCTTTGCTCTTTCGGCCCGCCTCTCAACTGTCAATCAAATGTTTACTAACTACTATTTTTTTTTTTTCCCCCCCAACCACACAGACACCCCAGGAAGCAGCCCGTGACAGCTGACTAACTCCCAGGTACCTATTTACTGCTAGGTACACACAGGGCACTTAGGGTGAAAGAAACTTTGCCCATTTGTGTGCTTCTGCCTCGTGCGTGAAATCGAACCCGCGCCACAGAATTACGAGTCCTGCGCGCTATCCACCAGGCTACGAGGCCCCCCCTAGTGTGTGTGTGTGTGTGTCCGTGCTTCCTCTCACCACCACTGGCTCGGGATCATTCCGCTTGTCTATACCACTTCACTGCTGCTGCGTCCAAGCATTTCCTTGCCTTTGGCTCATCTGCTTTTCTAACATCCACCTCTGGCTCCTCGATCTGTTGTACCTCACTTGCAATATACCCGCTGGTCACTTGCATATTTCCATCAGTATCTTGTATGCCATCGTCCCGTCTTATGTCCTTATCGCGTCAGAAATCGTAAGATCTAGTCTTCCTAAGCTTGACCTCGAAACTCATCTCTTCTATAGAAGAAATAAGTTCTATAGATGAGTTCATGCTCCTGTACTTTTCTCTTCAAAATTCTTTCGATTTCCTTAATTTAGTTCTTGAGTTTTTACTAGGTGTGGGTTCCACACTGGAGGTACATGAAGTAGGGCGATTTACACACCCACAGTGGGTAACTCCCCACACTGGTAATTCCCCACTCCCCACAGTGAGTACAGAATCATATATCAGCCAACATTACTGTTGAATGAGGTTACTAAATATATAAGGACATTCCACTCACAACAAAGAGGCGGAAGGAGGCCGCCAGTCGTACAATTATACGACCACGGGGAAATAACAAGGCCCAGAATTTCCTTTGTATACGAGACATGGAGGGAAAATTGGGGAGAAAGGTGGGGAGAAAGGTGGGGGAAAAGGTGGGGGGAAGGGAGGGGGAAGAGACGGCGAGGAGGGAAAGCCTGAATGACCAGGAAGGGCACGAGGAGCCAATCACGTACGCCCATGTATTTACCTGGAGTTCACCTGTAGTCGATTTCCATAGATCTAGTACTCCCCAAGCCCGGCCTGGGACCAGGCTTGTCTTGAGTTAATGTGATCAATAAGGCTGTTGCTTGGACCGGCCACAAGAGACAGACAAGGAGACAGAGACAGAGAGACAGAGAGAGGACATAGAGACAGAGACAGACAGAGGGGGGGAGGAGAATGAATATTGATCGTGTTGCTGTATCGATTTGTCTTTCTTTAATGTCGAACATTTAAGCCATATCTTACACTTATACAAACACTTGGGTCAGGAGTACACGCACGCACGCACACCGGCAGCTAAAATTCGTCAATTATCAAATTATATGCATTAAAGTGCAATATTTGCAACATTGTCCTGTAAATATACAAGTCAACTCGAATGCTGCAAGGGTGTCCCCCCCCCACAACCAGAGGCGGTGCCCCACTAATCTTGACAAGAGGAACTTATGTCCCCAACACCCCCACTGTACCTCCTGGAGAGTCTATAGCGGCCCCGCCAACCACACATCCACTACACATCTTATGCGCCAGATTTTCGACGTTCCGACTCGATGGATAAACTCTAGAGGCGGGTCCTAAGGCTCAGGAAAGTCTTTGCTTTCAAGAGGTGGCGAGATCCCCCTGTACTGATGGTTGATGTTGGGGAATGGTGGAGGAACGGTGGTTGATGGTGGAGGGATGGTGGAGCAGGCTGAGGCAGGCGCGCGCGTTCATTCAGGTAGAAAGGGGGGAGGG